TCTGGAACGCAGCATAAGACCTTGATCAGCTGATTCAGGTGTGATTGATTGCGGTTGGAGCTGAACTCTGCAGAACAGTGGCCCTCCAGGAGCAGGATTGGACACCCCTGCTTTACAACCCCATTATCTCATTGTGAACACAGCACTGTACTGGATTATGGAAAAAAACAAAATGTATGGCTGGGACTTGCTTCTATCTGTCATTTGTTGATTGGATTTTAAAATGTGCATATGTGGATGGGCTGGGTTTAAGTGGACTAAATTATTATATTTTAATTTAATATATTATATTTTTTGATCAAACATTTCACAGTCAAAACATTTTTAAATTATCTGGTCAAGTTTAATGCTACCACTCAAGATTGATTCATTCATTTGAAAAATCCTCACTGTTTTTAAGCCGAATAAATATCGCCCTGATTAATTACATTATATGAAATGTATATATTTTAAGTAGAATAAATAACTACTTAGAATTATTATTAAATACACTATACTGCTTGTTTAAATAGCTTCAATATAGTGGTTAACAGCTTGTAAATGTAGCCAACCACTCGCTTGTCGCTTAACTACTTTCAATCACGTGATGCAAAGTCACTTCCTCAATGCTAAATGCTAATGCACAAATAACAACAAGCTTGAGGTGAACGCTTGCACAGGTGGTGCATTTAATTAAACTATATTATGGCAGATGTAAAAAACAAAGTGATGGCTATAAAGATATGAGAACATGGGGGCAGTCAGCCAATGTCAGCAGTGCGTGGAATGGGGCATTGTGGGCACATTTCTTCATTGATTAGAGTGAGTGTGACGCAGCCAGATGTGGCTGACCAGCAGAGCATAGCAGTCTTGAGGTGACACCTCGTTGAGTCACCCAATCAGACGTGGGGACAGCGATGACACATCCTATAAGAAACGTGGGCAGAATAGGGCTCACTGAACACAATGAGCTATAGAGCACAGGGCGACGATACACTACCTTCAGGCAATGTAGTTTTTTGAGAGGATTAAACCTTTCTCGGAGTAATTGGAATATATGTGCTTTCATAACCTTCACCCTCTGCTACAAACATCATGATAACTCATGGGTTGTTTTGTGTCTTGCAGCCGTTCTGTTGTCTCTAATGGCATGCTTGTGTACCTTTAAAAGTTACTGTTCTCTCATATAATATAATTTATCTTGTCATAGATGAATGCGAGCTGTAGCTGAAACATGCGGTCAGTGCCCTCTCATTAGGATAATGTTAACATCTCTATCATTTCTGGCATATTCAGACAATGGATGCTAGTTCTTGAAAATAATTTATGAAATCTCTAAGAGGTAAGATAACAATGACAAAGACATGCAGAAAATATTGTTTCATCCTCAGCATACTGCCATGATCAAAAGACTATGATAAGAGAATTCAATAACCCAATAAATGTATCATTTGTGATATGCAAATTTCTAAGGCCTCTAAATCAACCTGATCAAACTTTGCTGCAAAACCTGTTGTACACAATCCACTCCACAGTGTCTGAGTGATAGTTTATACTTTTTTAGCAAGTAAAAAGTATTTTAGTATATGTATGCTTTATGTTTAGAATGCATTTCAAGATGAACACTTACTAGACTGAAGCAACTTATGTTTACTTGATTATACATCAAAAATATTCTTAAAATGTGAGTTTCAAAAATTATACATCAGGCTTTTGAGGAACATTTGTTTCTACATCTCTCAATCATCATTGAATGATTGAGGAGGGGGGGGGGATGTTACCAACATTTTCTCTTTTACATTGTCTAAAGGTTCAGTAACCTGTTCCATTTCAAAAAGATAGATTTTTCTGACTATCTTTCAGATGTCAGGCCTTACAGGGTTGTATATGTATGCAAAGGATGAGCTAGGCAATCACTTTGAACCATTGAGATGGCATGAAGTGTTGATAAAGGTTAGGCATGTTATTTTTCCATTATTACTTAACTGTTTGCTATTTAAATCCTTATGTGATTTGTGGATGCAATTTGTTTTCATGGGTTGACAAAAAGGTCCAAAACAAATGCGATCAGAACACGATTTAGCCTACACACTTTCTGAATAAAAAGTGCAATCTCACCGCTACAATGCTTTGGCTTTGTTAAAGTGTTCAAAATGTTGCTATGCAGTATCTAGGCTATTTTGGGTTGTTGCTATGGTGCTGCTTAGTGGTTACTAAGGAGTTGAGGGTAGTTGCTTACTGGCTCAAATGCATGGAGTCCATCTCCACGTCTCTAAGATATTCTGGTTCCTAAATATGGCCTCCCTTCAATGTATGTTTAAGCAGTTGTTTTGACAGTTTTATCATCTGCAGGCTGAAGAGATAAATAATAGCAACAGCTTTTTAGAGCATGATTCATGTCTGTAGTTTCACACATATATTAATAAACACTAACTAACTATATACTGATAACTATCATGGCCAAGGAACTTAAAAGGAAAAAAAAAATCCAATGTGACATGCCAACTATTCTGTCTTCGTACAATTCAACAGCTCTGTTTTCAGCTTGAAAACATTATATTTAAAACTGTTTTGTGACCTCCTGGCTAGGCAAATGATTGAATGTTGCCACTGGCTTTTGCCTCACAACATCTGTTTGTCTGAATTGCTGGAAACCGATTGTACACATACTAAAGTATTCAATTTAATTTAAAAGACATTTAAATGCTAATAAGATACTCACAACAATCTTGTATTGCCTCAACAGCTCTGAAGTAGCCCCCTGGCAGACGCAAATATTATGATTTTTTTCTCTCAGTTGCTAGATGTACAACGCACTGTTTTTCATGATCATTCTACAACAGTAAGCCAGTCATTTTTACGGTGTGATGACTCACAACACTGTAGATCTAAAATGTAATATTTCTCCATGATTAATGCCTTTAAGATGCAATCTCTATAAATAACAGATGAAAACAGTTGAATGTCTTAAACTGTAAGAACAATGAAAGGAACCTGATGGTGGGAAGGAACGTGAAGTGGGTGGTGACTTCAGCTGAGCTTAATTAATATTTAAAGACTTCCTTTATTACATCTTTAATAGCCTTTTTTGTTGGTATCCCTCAACTTTTGGCTCCCAGCACAGTTTAATTCACCTCCCATTGAGTTGACTGGCTCAGAGCTCTCAACTTCAGACTTTCATCTCCGTTCTTTCTGCCTGAGCTTTTATTGTTCTTCAGCTTTTCCTTGGAGAATTAATGCCATCATATTGAACCACAAAAACTCCAATACGAGTGCATAAAAGTATGAGGTCAGAGAGATTTACTGTTTGGAATTTAATATCATAGCAAACTGAAAAACTACTGCAGATGAACTTTCATTGAAGATATTAGATTGGCAAAAAGGTATTAAATCATTGCCTCATGACATGGAAAAGAAATTAGGTAACTGCTCCTTTACGATATCAATCAGGTTGATGGCCCTTTTTGCCAAAATGCCCCAGGATGAAGATAACTCTCCTAGATTTCACTTCCAAACTAAGGATAATTCTCTACATATGCCATAACATTAAGAGGATTAGGTTCAGAAAATGGATCATGATGCTTCTAGTGACAAGCAACAATGTATTCTGTCACTATCTGGACACATCACTTTAATATGTCCACATCTGCTCTATAATTTGGCTTTTCTTTTAAAGGCTATATGGCATATTATACTGATTTATATGTCCTGAAAAGGAGTTTTAAAAGGTGTGCTCAATATATTTTTTTCTCATTAAAAAGTTTTACTAAAATAAATGAACAGCACTTTGGAAAAATCTGTTTAAATCATGTACACTCATATAATCAGTAGCCTAATAAGAGCTGTTATATTTTTCCACATTTGTCTCATTGAGACACTCTTGTTAAGGACATATGACCAGACGAATATTACTTGCTTCATTTCAAAAAGCTTCCTGTTATTGAGATTTTTTTGCTCCCTGAATAAATGAATCATGTCTGACCGTGAATAGAGCATAGTGTGATGCTGCATCCACACCACTAGGTGTCAGTATACCAAGACAGCTTCCATAAAAAAGCAGTGCATTTTTTTTGCATTTGTTCTCCAGTATAGTGGCAATCCAGAAAGCCTAACAATAATACAGTCCAAATAAAAATATACTGCACACACTGCAACGTCTTCTGACCCATAATGACTGTCAGACAAAAAAATCAGTCCACCCCATAGATACAAAGACTAAAGTTCAGACTATGTCAGATAAAACTTAATGAACTATACTTGCTAAGGCTACACCACAGCTCTGCCTGCTCCTGTTGGGGTTAATGAGTTTTCGAAGCCTAATTAATTCATGGTGAATTTCTAAATTGAACTCTGTGAGTTCTGTGAGAGACTCTGTTTATGAAGTGTTCCTTCGACATGCCTCAAAGAGCAGCTAATATCCTACCTCCCCTCCTATTTCTCTCATCTGAGGAAAAAAGGCAAATTTTCCTCTGCCTTCAAGGATTTAAATAATAATTGTACTACACAAGAAACGTAACCCTCCTATTCTGTTGATGATGGGAAATAAAATAAAACACACGCAAGATGAGAAATATGCCTCATATCCCCTTGGCTCTAATTCAACAAGAACTGGGTCAAGCTCACGAGAAATTTAATTTGAACATATGTCAATTAATACCCATTATGTCTTTACGTTGAAAAGCAGAATCCTTCTCACAATCTCCTAAAGCCTGGCACTACACTAGAGATTTAGTTAGATCCTCTGTGTTTTGTGTCTCGTCTCTTGGAAATCAGTTTTTACCTTGTAAGGAAGTCAATGAGATTTTTTTAAAGCTCTGGAGCATGCAGAAATTGAGACAATGAATGACACAGGAATAAAGCCTGACTTGGTGCATATGCACTGCTATGCACAAATAGCAGTTCGTGTACAACAGCTATGCAATAACTTATACTTAATAAGAATTTGCTTATTATTAAGTATAAGCCCAGCTAGAACCCCCCCCCCCCCCCCCTTTGCATAAATAAATAAGAATAGGCCTTACTTGAGTGTAAACTGCTCCACAGTAGAATTTGGGACCAGAAGCAGGTAGATGTTGAGGGTCTCTCCTGGCTTTAATGGCCTCTCTGGTAGTCTCAGAAAGAGGTTCTTGTCAAGCTGTTTGTCAACCACTAGTTGTTCCTGACTGGGCTGGTACAAACTGATGCTCCCAATACGGAGAAGGGGTTGTTGGGATGAGCTCTCCCCTCTGGATGCCCCTCCTTGGCGTGGGTAGCTCTCCCCACATTCATCATTGCTGTCTGGATCATGGAGAGTATAGTAAAGCTCTACTTGAAGGGTCTCCCCACTTAACTCAAGTCCATCTGTCCCTGAGAACTTTCTGCGACCCAGTGGTGCTACATTAACATTAAACCATGTGGAAGGGAGATCCAGTTGGGCCAAGCACTGTGCCAGATTCCCTTGAAGCCTGCAGGAAGTTTTGATCTCCCGAACATCTCTAAAAGCATGCAGCCTCACACATGGAAGCTTGTCCTGAATCTTGAAGTCATCCCAGTCCCGTCCTGCGATATAGAACAGCACCTGAACCAATGGGTTACTAGCAAAAACTCTAGACTGTACAATAAATGCCCGGACCTTCCAGTTGACTGTCACCCGTCCGGGAATGTCCAAAGGACTTGACGGTTGCAATAGGTCCTTGGACAATGTCTGGTCTTGGGTGAAAGGTCCAAGTGAGATGTTGATTGCAGGCAGCTCTTTGGTCTGAAAGACCACAAAGCTTTCTGAACGCTGAAGAGGGTGTCCACGTTGGCTGCCATATGGTGGAACTCGGGCCTCTTGGAGAAAGAAGGCCAACTGTGTGTTGGAGAGCTTAAAGTTGGCAGGGAGGTAAACTTCTGGTGGGCTGGAGGTGGTACTAGTAACTGGGACACTGAAGAGGGCATCTGAACTGGTAGGGGAAACTTTACCAGCAACTGCAAAGACAAAGAAACAAGAAAAAAATATGGTTAAATATGCACTACCAATACACGGTTGTAGCCAAGGACTGGAACAGATAGCACATAGGTTTAAACTCAGAAGAGCAGATCCAGGAATTCAGGAACTCTAGAGTTCATGGAACCCTGCTCCTCCTCAACACTAAACCCTTATGTGAGCACCTAAGTGGGAACCACACACACCTTTACAGGGAAAGACCCTTGAGCTACAGCGCTGCAAGTGGCTCTTGATGGAAAACAACTACAAAATTACAGGCAACAATGTGTTGGCTTTATTACAGCTTATTTTTGCATAAAAAAGGACTCAAAATATTTTCCGTATCTGCTGGTGGCAGGGAAATATTCTCCAATTAGCAAGAAAGGGAATGCTTGTTCTCCCTTTCATGCCTCAGGAGATCAGTTGGCTCTGACAATAGACACTGATTAATGGCATGCAAAATTGAGAGGTTTTCAACCGAACTGTTCAGATTAGAATTCAGTTTCAGAATTTGTATAAATTCAAATAATGAGCAATAAATTCATATAGTGAATACACTGGCTTCAATGAGAGGACAAAGCTGGTCATCTTAACAGAAATTCTCACTACTTGGAGTGAGGTGAGATATCGACTAGCATGCAATGGTTTGTCTGATAACATATTGTACACAGAAGACATCATTGATCTTTTGGGCTCTTAAGATTAACTACCTAAGACTAGATGCCCAATCGATTGTTGAGAAACTTCCACACGCTGATCATAATCTCCCTGTACTGGAGAGAAATGGAGACACTTGGAGAATAACTGTAATATTTAAAGCAAAGTTGACTAAAATTCAAATAGTTGTATAAATCTTTCAAAGCTATAAAAACCCACTTGTATGGTAGAGTTACAGTATGAAAAGGGACTGCCTTTTGTTTTCTATTAATATGCACTCTATTCAACTATAGAATTTGCCCTCAAAAATGTATGGAACAATAAAACATACTTATCATAATGACAAGCCGAAGTGAACAGAGAATCCATGGCAAATCCTGAACAACAAAATGTCCCATATTCCACAAATTCTTAGCATTTAAATGGGGTACTTCACAACTTGAATCACTTCACAGGTAGACAAAAAGAATATCCGTGCAGCTGAAGCCAAACTGTTGAAAATTTTGATAGCTGCAGATCAGGTTCAGTTCAAGCTTTGAAAACCCGCTCAAAGTCTCCAAACTTAGTAAAGTAAAAGTAGTATCCCCTCAGTAGTAATCCAACTGTATCCAGAACCTGCCAAAAGATCTGAGAGAGACGGATCACTTGTGGCTGTTGGGAGGCTCCGAAAGCACCTCCTGCCCTGCAGCATGATCGGAGTGATTCCACACTAACATTCGCTCACTCCATCTATTCTCTGCAGTTCCTGTATGAGTGTGACTCCTCCCAGCAGATCCCGTTCTCCTCTTACAGCCTGAGACAAAGACTAGTCACCGCCCTGTCTCACCACACCTCACCTAACCCCAAACTGTAATAAACTCTTTAGCTCTCATTCACAGCCAGTGCAAAAGCACTCCTCCCAGGACACCACCATGGCAGACTACAAACTACCCTATTACATTCATCTTCTCCCACTGGACGTGTTGAGGCAGACTCTGAATGTGTCTGCGTGAGGGAGAGTGTATTTGTTAGGGGGCTGGGTTTGGGGGAGGGATGCATAGCTTGAGCGCCTTCAGGCAAAGAGCGGGGGATTAGTAGGAAGATCACTGACGAATTAGCTCTCCTCCTTTCCTCATCCAACGGCCTCTGGAAGATAAATCTGAATGGAGATGGGGGATGGGGGTTGAAGGTGGTGGGTCGTCTACCCTTCCAATTGCCCAAAGAGTCCTCAAGAGCTCAGAGAAGGAAATATACTATCAAATGTGGGACGATGCTCTGTGCCAAGATACACTGCTTCCACAACAAATGAAAAGTCCACACAAAGAGCAGCAAAATATCATTCACACAATTTCTGATCAGTACATTCCTCAGCAATAATGTGACATATTGAGTGCCGCTTTCTGTGAAGCAAATTACATCTTTGAGACTCTTCTTTCAAGACAGGTTCCCTCCACTCCATTACATTTCTGACGTTTATCATCGAGCTCATTCAACAGAAAGGTTCAGATTATAAAAGCCCATAGATTGGGTTTCACTCACGCTCAGAGGTTTGAACACCTTTTGGTGTGGCTGTGGCCTGTGGAAACAGATATGAATACCTCTTAAAGGGATGAGCTAATGCCTCTGAAAGCCAATCTATTACAAACACATTAAGCACCAAAGAGCTCCTCTCAACTACTTTTCCAGATAAAGGCAGTCTAATGTATATATTTCAATAGCATCATCGGATTATGTGCTTGCAGTGCCTCCAGGGATAAACACTAGAGAGGTCACAGATTCAAATAGATCATGCCCATCACTGCATAGGCTCTGCACTGTGTCAAAAAGAAGGCACATATGGGACTACAACATGACACCAAAAGTCCACCCCGATCCCTCCTCCCAGCCCCACTAATAGACCTCTTGGTTTAGTGGAGTGGCGGCTGCCGTTGCTGAACTCAGTAACAGGATACACATCTGTTGGTCAATGACTGTGGCTCGAAACAATCCTGGGGGCTTTCTGCAGCTTTTTAGCCTCAGCCTTATGAGAGATAATGGAATCGTCATGTGTAATACGACTTTGAAATGTTGAAGCTTCACTGTTTAATTTAACTCGCCGTTACTGTAATTTTTCTCTGTAATCCCACACTTCTTTTTTTTTTTTTGCCACATGGGCAATGTAAGATGCTGGATGGAAAATAAGAAATTCCCCACAAGCATTCGCATTTGCTTTGAAATAATCTGTCTAGCGGGGCAATTGCTCTAGGAAATAATCCATGAGGCTTTTTCTTAGAAAAAAAATGTGACAACAATAAGCATTATAAAAGAAGTCCCCCACCCACATACACCATGCACACAGCCACACACATTATGAAAGTGTGCGCATCTTACAATTGCAATCTTGATGCTGTCATTTGTTTTGGAGTCTGTTAAAGTTTGAAAATGCTTAAATGGCATTGTGTATTATTTCCCGGTTTGAATTACTGAACAAATTGAACAGGGTAGTGTGTTAATTAACGAGCTGTACCTCAGAAACATCTCTATAAAGAGACACAAGAAGTGCTAGTGTAATTGTTCCATTTGAATTATTGCATTCAAGTGTACCCAAAGGAAATGCGCAGAGAGGAAACTGAATGAAGAAGAGGCAGAGAGAATACAAGATGTGACATGTGATCAAAGATTAGGATGATGCAATTTGAAAGGTAAATCACCATACCACAGACAAGGAGAATGCAACATTCAATTTTCAAAAACAGAAAATTACGTGATTGAGAAAGTCACACCTGTTAAACTGAAGTAAGATTTCATTTCATAAATAGAAGTAACATAAGTAGAGGTAAAATAGATAATCTAGAGCTGCATGATTTTGTTAAAAAACAACTGTTGATTATTTACTTTGATACTGTAATCAATTAATATTCATGAATAAAATTTACAATGATATACTTCTTTTGTTTGGGGCAACTGTGTACCGACTGATTACCATATTCTAAAAAAGCTGAGAACTGTGTTCTCGGATAAATATATTTCATGCATCAGTAAAAACCAAGACATTGAATAACTTCACGTTCTTAGCAGTATAACAAACAAAACTGTTCATCATATTTTGTATAAACTGTTTACAGAATGCTATGCAGCATCATGTTATAATCACTGAAGCTCCCACTGCAAAATGAAGTGAAATATAAAACGTATTTGTGTAACTATATCTGTGAATCAGATTGCTGAAATCTCATTAGGTGTTTATTGTTATTGACAGGTCTAAAGAGTAACTTAAACGCCTCTTATTTGCATCAAATGGACTGCACACAACAGACACCTCTGCAGTTACAAAACTCAACCGAAGCAAAAAAACATTGTAAATTTAATATTTAGGTAGACCTAAATGGAATACTTTAATCAGCAGTTTCACGTTTAGTTAATCATAGCAGCTGTAATCATAATCTTCATTGTTGATTTGATTAAGAGTGCAGCCCTTTACAGTTTTACTAAGGGTTTTAATGTTAGCTATTTGTCATATCACCTTACTGTACCTCATGAATTCATCAGCATTTCGTTAGGCCAAATAAAGAGCCCATTAATTCACCAAAAATACATTCAACAGGAATTTATAACCCCAGGAACTCTGAAGCGTACACCAAACCTTTTGATCCATGGCTATGCTAACGAGTCTGTCAATCGAAGTGATTCAGGGGCTAGTGAATGAACTCTGGCTTGAGTTAGCATGACAAGTAACAGTTGCAAATGAAGTGATTTACATAAGAAAGAGGCGCTCCAACCGTTAGCATCATGTCAAGCCTTGCCGTACCACAAATAGTGACTACCATTGCATTCTCTTCATTACAGCACCATGGTTTCGGTTTTCACTGAAGAGAAGGTGCTGAAAGGAAATGTTTAGAGGGAAATGGGCTTTATATTCCAACACTAAATCGTTGACCATATTTTGCCATTATTTCAGCATTCAATACCATGAGGCCTAATATATTTGCTCCTCTTTGCGCCACTTGTCCTTGTCTGTCCTACAAGTGCCTTTTGCGATGAGAGGATGAAAATTGACTTAACAGAAAATGTGAGATACTGAGCAGGGAGCTGATTGCTAATGTGATGCCACTGCTTTGCTGCAGTCATTTATGGCAGAATTAAATGAAAGGGAATGAGGAGATTTGTCATTAAGTATTTGACAGGATATAAATCAGAATCCAGTGAATTTGGATGGTGAGGCACATTGCCACACATTCAGATCATGAAATATGTAAGTGGCTAATTATAGCAACTAAGCAAAATTATGATTCTATATGCAGTAGAGAAAAAATTATCCTTGTTACCAGAAGCTGTAAAAATGTTAGAATGACAATTTCAGCATTTGAACCTGTACAACATGGCTCAGAAGTGGATAAAAAGAAATATATTAATGTTATCTATTAACTAACTATATTATTCTATAATCTTATAAACTGATTCAGTAATTAACATATAAAATACTATTATTTAGCATTACAGTGTGATTTGACTGACTCGGAACTCATGGATCTGAATATATGAAATAAGATGCCTGACATAAACAAGTATATTCATACCTGCCCACAAATACACACACAGACACAAACCCACAAGTATTTTTGCTAACTGCATTGATTGTACTTTAGAAGACATGAGTTTAATGAGTTGGGGGGGGGGGGGGAAATCACAATAGGGAGAGGATTTTAATGTGTATTGACTAAGGTGTCTGGGTATGTTAATAAATGAGTACAAGTGGAGCACATTGCTTTCACCTTCATAAACAATACAGTCTGTAGCATCTTAATTATCTGGGAGGCGTTTGAAAATATTTTAAAGGAGTTTTCAGTGGCCTTTATGAAGATTTATTAATAAAGATTATTGTTTCAAAGAGGTGGATTTCTCATTTTAAGTCTCTGTAGAATATGATTTAAATTATATGTACGCAACTGGCCTGCCCAGTATCATTGCCCACAGAATCACACAAAAAGTTCTGCAAAATTTAAACACCAGTCATTCACAAAGTTGTACAAATCCACCCATCATTTAACAGATATTTTGGCTAGATTTGATTATGCATTCTGCTACTAGTAAGAGTGCAGTATTCTTAGCTCAGTTTAACACATTTTCCCATATGTAAATCCATATGTAAACAACTTTGAATTATAAAATAATTAGCAAATTTCAGCAACATTCAAAATATTAATTTAAGGCCAACTAAAAAGCTTTAGATGGAATATAACATGTTACCTGGCAGGGACATGCCAATGACCCATTTATGTACACTTTACATGAACTGTAAAATGCCTGAAGCATTGTCATCATTTTTTTTTCATTAGACATGACTGGTACATCATATAGAAAAAGCATGATGGAGAGCTTATATTCATGAAAACGTCATTAACATTCAGTCAACATAGATTTAAATGAAACAGATGTGTCTCTCATAACTTGGCTCTCACCTTCTTATGTTTCTATGGTAAAAAAAAAAACCTAAAACTCCCTACCAAGTCACCATAACAACCAGCTTGAGGTTTTGGTATAGTACTCATGAGGAACGAGTAATACAATAATACAATAAACCATAAAACCTTAAGCCTGAATATAGCTGATGAATTTGAAAAGATTGT